CGTCGATCCTCAAGCAGCGGCTCACCAGGCCGGTCAACCTCCGGCGCGAGCGGCGGGACAGGCCATCAAGGCAGAACCAGAAGAAGAAGAGCCAGTGGAATTGGAGTTACCATTGGTGACCGACCCCAGCAAAGTGCTGAAAGGTTGGCCGGACAGAGACTGTCCTCGATTCTCCGGCGCAGTCGGTGAGAGTGCCGCAGACTGGTTAAAAACCGTCGCCATGCTCCTAGAAGATCGTCAGGCCCACCCCGGCATCTGGCATCGAACCGCCGGTCAGCGTTTGAGCGGTAAGACGTTCCGAGACTGGACCGAGTTGTCCATAGCCGGAACTCGTCCGAAGAATTGGGCGCAGTTCAAATCGTGGCTGCTTTGGTTGAATCCGTTGGGTACCACCCCAGCGTTGCTGTCGGCCGAGTTGAATCGGTTACGCCAGGGACCGAATGAAGCGGTCCAACTTTTCTACGAGCGTTTCAGTGCTTGGCGAGTTAAAGCCAACACCATCGGTTTCGCTCACGATGAACAAACAGCGTTCATCCAGAGGCTCAACCCGGGCCTACGCACCGAAGTGACGAAGTTCGTTACCGGAGAAACGATCCGTGGAGCCAAGATCACCATGGATCAAGTTTTTATGGTCGCGGTCGCTAACGACCAACACTATCGAGAATCCCACGCGGCGCCAGTTGCCGGCGGATCGGGATCGGGCAAGCGTCGAGCCGATGGCGAAAGCGGCGGGTCCGACAAAAAGAAGAATGGCTTCCCGTGCCATAACTGCAAGCAAACGGGACACAGGGTCAATAAGTGCCCTGAACCCAAGTCTGAAGCTCAAAAGGCTTGGGAGGCGAAGAACGCCCAGAAAAAAAATGAAAAAAAAGAATAGTCGGTGAGGAAATGTCTCTCCCACCGACATTAGTTGTAGTTTCTTCCTCTCAAAGTAATTTAATCAATGTTGAGAATGACCTACATGAGCGCATAAGTGATGTTAATCACTGTGAGAATAAATCAGCTGAGTTTAGTGCGGGTTGCCCAGGCATGGGGACCGCCGGGTCGGAAGATGCAGGTTTGCCCAACGGAGAGACGTTGACATCCGCCACCGATATCGTGAGTGATTGTTTGTGTGATGATGGTGTCCATTCAGTCGAGGCGGCCGTTGATGAGCCCCGAGGGGTTCGTGCCGAGTTCCATCACTTAGTTGAGGGCCGTTTGGCCAGGGTCCTCCTCGACACTGGCGCTGGATCGTCATATGTGTCAAAATCCTTTGTTGCGGATCGTGATTTACTAATCTTTTGTTCGTCTGATTCTTTTAGAGTTACCGGAGCTTTTGGCGATCAGATAGCGGATGATCGATTAGCCACCGTCCGTTTCAATCTTGCGGAAGTTTATTTTTCTGTAGTTTGCCGGTTGGCGCCGTTGTCTAGTTACGACGTCATCTTAGGCCGCGATTGGATAGCGTCCAACGTAGTATCAACCGACTGGGACTCCAACATATGGCACCTGAGAGCTGGTAGTGGTAATGTTGTCCAGTTTTGTCTGAATTCGTCCTCGATTAGCAGCATTCTGACTCATGAGTTGTCTGTCATGTCCGACGAAGAAGAGGTTTTCCTCCCTAGATCAATCCGACGCCACGAATTCTATGAGGGCGCTCGGGAATCCTTCATCTGTCTGATGGAGTCAGAAGGGGTCGCTGGGCCGAGGGATGAAATACCGGTAGGTCTACCTACGGTATTCGGACCGGACCCAGAACTCCGAGAGTCGTTACGTTCCTTAGTGGTTCGTTTCGGAGAGGTCTTCGGACCTATATCTAAGGTCTCCACTAGACCTAGAACTATAGAACACCTGATCAGTACAGGAGAAGCTCAGCCGGTTCACCAGCCCGTCCGACAGCTGTCGCCAGCCTTGCTGGGAACCCTGAAAGAAAGACTTACCGGGCTGCAGGAAGCCGGGTTCATTCGCCCGTCGACCTCGGCTTGGTCGTCCCCAATTGTGATGGTCAAGCACCCTACGTCGGGGAAAGTGCGGTTGTGTGTGGACTACCGTAAGGTGAACGCACTTACCAGAAAGGACCGTCACCCGCTCCCAATCATCCAAGAATGTTTCGATTCGTTACGCGGAGCGAAGTTCTTCTCGAAGATCGATTTGCAGCAGGGGTTCCATCAGATGAAGATCGCTGATGAGGACGTTCCTAAGACCGCGTTTGGGACCAAGTATGGTCACTACGAGTGGTTAGTCATGCCCTTCGGGCTAGTAAATGCACCGAGCACATTTCAGAGAATGATGACTCAGCTGCTCCGAGAATTCATCGACGTGTTTGTTCAGGTTTACCTGGATGACATTTTGATCTATTCAAGAAGTGAAGAAGAACACGTACGTCACGTGGAGAAAGTCCTCAAGGTACTCCAGAGGGAGGAATTGAAGTGCAGCGGGGCCAAGTGCTCGTTCGGCATGAGGGAAATCCAGTACGTCGGCCATGTCATAGGGTTCAACTCTATTCGACCGATGGAGGAGAAGCTCGAGTGTGTTCGCAGCTGGCCTAGGCCTCGTACGGTTTTCGATGTGCGTTCGTTTTTAGGTCTCTGTGGGTTCTACCGGCGTTACGTCAAGAATTTCGCCAAGATAGCCGCTCCGTTACACGACCTCACAGCTGGGGGAGTAACAAAACGACAGGCGGTTCAGTGGTTCCCAGTCCAGGACGCAGCGTTTGAGCAACTGAAGAAAGCGCTTACCAGTGCGCCTATCCTATTGATGCCGGACGTCTTGAAGAAGTTCGTCATGGAAACGGACGCCTCGGATTTCGCGGTAGGAGCCGTCTTGTTGCAGGACGGAGAAGATTTGCTGCTACACCCCGTCGCTTTCGAGTCGTGCAAGTTGAATCGGGCGCAGATTAACTATCCAGCGCAAGAAAGAGAATTGTTAGCGATTATACATGCCTGGCGAAAGTGGCATGTGTACCTCGACGGAGCGGTTGAAACGACAGTAGTTTACACCGATCATGCTTCGTTAGCTTACCTTTCCACGCAGTTGTTACCGACAAAACGACTTTTGCGATGGATCGAGGAGTTCGCTGAAATGGATATCGAGGTCCGTTACAAGAAGGGTGTCGATAATGTCGTGCCGGACGCGCTATCGCGTAGAAGTGACCTAGCACTACTAGATGAAGTTACTGATCAGCTCCATGAGTCTGATTGGCCTTTGATAATTCCTTACCTAATAGATAAGCGTAGCTTACCAGAGGGAATCCCAGAACGCTTGATCAAGTTGGCGAAGAAGAACCTGAAGTACTTCAAGTACGATCCGTCTGCTGAGACCTTGGTCTACCTTGGCCGGCGAGGATTAGAGGAGAAGTCGCCGTTCGTAGCGTTCGCTTATCGGTTTGATCTTCTTTATTCGGTTCACGACGAACTTGGCCATAGAGGGCGGGACTGCACCCTGCAAGTCCTGCGGGGCAGGGGTTGGTGGCCTAAGCGGTATGAGGATGTTCAAAGTTACGTCCGTACCTGCGCATTGTGTCAGATACACGAAAGGCCTCATGAGAACCAGGAAACCAGTCTCCAGAAACCTCTCCCGGCTGTGGGGCCTTTTGAGAGATGGTCCTCGGACCTGATCCAGATGCCTAAGAGCTACAAGAACGGCTATAGCTGGATTCTGACAGCTGTAGACCATTGCACATCTTGGCCGGTGGCAAAGGAGGCCATGGCGGACAAATTGGCGACTGCCATCTTCGAGCATGTTGTCATGCTGTTCGGAGCGCCAAAGGAATTCCTCACTGATAGAGGCTCCAACTACCTGTCAGCAGGTTTCCAGTATTTCCTGAGGGCATCGGGAATGAAGTCAGTCCGTACGTCAGGGTACCATCCCCAGACGAACGGAAAGAATGAGCGGTTTAATGGAGTGCTCGAAGCGGCCATTTTCCGCCTGAACACCTCGGGCGATCGTTCCAAGTGGGAGGATCACTTGCCGGCGGCATTGTTCTCGACCAGGGTTCATGTCAGCGACAGCAGCGGGTACTCGCCTTTCGAGTTACTATACGGCTGTAAGCCACGGCTTCCAAAAGATAGAAGGCGAATGATCGCCGCAGAACCTGTCGTGCCAGGGATAGATGAGCTTATGTCCCGGCTAGAGATTTTAAACAGGAATAGAATCGAGTCCGCGGGTAATACAGCAGTCCGCGCGGAAAGAAATAAGGCAGCTTTCGACGACAAAACCAAGTTCTCCCGGGATCTCGACGGTCTCGTGGTTGGGCAGTCCGTCAAGTTGCGCAACGAGAAGCATAAGAAAGGCCAGCCCAGGTGGTTTGGACCATTCGAGATTCGTAAGGTCTTGGACAACAATGTCTACATTGTTGCCGATCACGAAGGCATAGAATACCCCAGGCCAGTAAACGGGAACAACTTAAGACCGGTGGCATTACGATCTTTGATCATGAATGACATGTGGGCTCCGCCGCCAGCCATTGCGTTGCGCGAGAAACGGGCGGATGCTAAGGTGACCCGAGATGTGTTAAAGAAGGCTAGTGCGGTAGCCAAAATTAAGAGAAAGCTCCCGGCCGAGGCCGGCGCGCAGAATCATCCCGGCCTAGAAACACCGGCTCAGCAACCGGCAAGGAGGCTCGTGCTTCGGCTTGGACCTCCGCCACCTAAGAAACCAGTTCGACGGCTCCGGCTTCGGCTTGGACCGCCGCCGGCTGGGTCTGGGACGACCCCTGTTTAAGGGGGGGGATGTTGTAGCAGGGCTACAGTTAGACAGGGCTAGTACAACCGCCCTGTAGGCTCCCGATCGGGAGTAGGCTTCGTACACCCTGTGTAGCACACCAGGGGTACCAGTTCCGCCGTGCCGAGAGTAGGTACAGAACCCGGAGTTACGGCTCCTTTTCCTTTCTCTCGTCATTTCCATAGCCACAGGGGCTTGTCCCTGTACGACAGTCCTGTACCGCCCCCTGGGCTATGTTTGTTGTCTCTAGTTTTCTCACTCGAGGCCTATATTAATAGGCCTCTCTTTGTAGGGGCTTTTGTTCCCCAGTTCTCTGCTCTTTCGTCACCGAAATTCAGAGTTCAGCTCTTTTTCCTCATCTCTTCGCGAGTCCCTTCACGGAGAGTAAAGAGTTTATATACCCGCGAGTAAGAACATCGAAGAAGGGAAGATGAGTGCGTCAAAGCAGAGAAATAGAAAGGTCGGTCTGGGCCATGGAAACGAAGGGTCCCAAGGTCGTAATTTTCAACTTATCTCAAAGCCCCCCCTGACTCATCAACCATACAGAGTATGTATAATTGTATCTCATTTCACCTTACCGCACCATTGGCATGCCGCAGAAAGCACCTGTAGTGGGCCTAAAACTACACCATGGAGTGCTGGACATCTGTGGTTCAATTCTTTCTTTCTAGGGGCTGTACACATGGGTTGACGGCATGCTCTGCCAAAAAGGTGTTGCCCTAGTCTTGGCTATAGGGACTCAGGGAGACGCGGTGAAGAACTGGCTAGGAGCACATGTCTGTCCTTGCAGCTTGAGCCACCAAGGTCGGCCGTAAGTGCCCACAGGGTGACATGGCGGGGACTCCCCAAAAATATTGTATCTCAAAAAAGGCTGTTAGATTGGTTTACACGAGAGATTTGGTTTCATGTATGAAATGGCTGCAAGCACCATGATTCTTATCGGAATTCTTCAACACAATGTTCACCAGGGCCATAAGGCTGTACGAAGGGGTTTTTTTTTCAGGAGGGGAGAGGAATAAACGGGTTACAAAATCAACCAAAGTTTGTTACTCGAGCTGATTAAGTAGGAGCAAAACAAGAGGCTTACTTTTTCGCTGAGTGAAGTGAGCTTGCCTACAGGCTCGCTACTCTGTCGTGATGATTGAGGGCCTGGTTTAGGCTTGCGTCCGGCAGCCAGTTCGTCCAATACTTTGACAACAGATTCAGGAGTAAGATCCTCCTGATAAACCGAGCAAAAAATTGTTGAAGAAAAAAAGAAGTTAACTCATAATTAACCTGTGGACTTCAATTTTTGAAAAGCTCAAAACTAGATTTATCCCAATTCATTCTTACATAGAAATCGTCGTTGATTTGGACCATTGGTGCATTACTGCAAGCTCCAAGACATTCCACCTCGATCACCGTGAATTTTTTGTCTTTCGTCGTCTGGCCTAGTTCTACACCCAAATGGTTTTTGATCGCTTCTACAATCACTCCTGATCCACATCCACCAAGCATACATGGAGTTGTCGTACAGATCTGTACAAAATGTTCTCCGACCGGCTCACTTCAATAATAATCCATCATTTTTTTGTACAAAACCGGAATTCAAGAAAATTGTTAGTTTTTAGTAACTATCACTTAGAAAAATAAATTCAAGTGTAGGGGACACTGACCGGTTGAACATGGTGTAGAAGGTGGCTACTTCGTAGACTCTCATCGGTGGCATTTCCAATAGTTTGGCCACATAATTCATCACGCTGATCGAAGTCCAACCATTGTTTTGTCGTTGAGCCAAGTCCAAGACCGGAATCACCGCAGCTTTCTTATACTGTGGTGGGAAGTTACTGTGATACAATAGAAGAAGAAAGAACAGATACAAAGTTTGGATTGGAGAGAGTCCAACATTGGTCGTTTGGTTCTTGTTCACTCACTCTATGCATCGTTGAGCTTTCTCCATGTATTCTGGTGTGAATTCAAACGGGATCTGCGGATTATTGTATGACGTATCTCGATGGACGAAAAGACTAAAAGCGAATCCATAGAAAGACAAGTCAGCTTGATTTTCACTTTCAGAAAAAAAGGATCATATCGTGAATACAGGCATACCTATCGGATCGTTGGATGGCAGTACTAGACCATGGCCTTCGGTTGGAAACGGAGGGTAATATTACATTGTTGGTTGATGATTTAGAGAGAGAACCGGCGCGAAGGGAGGATAGGCAGTTCTTGGCCAATCGACCCCGGACGGTGTTGATGATCGAGCTCGAGGCTGTCCCGGCGAGGTTCATGATGGTTGATTAAGGTGAGCTGGCCTGGTGGAGCTGGTGGAGGTGGGTGTGTTGTTGTTGGTTCAGCGTGGTTTTGATTGGTCAGTCTCCGCCAAAGCAGGCTCCAAGCGGGGCAGGCCGAGGGAGGGGGTCGAGGTATGCTTAAACCGAGGAAACCTTAAACGAGATATGCTAATACCTGACAACACTACCCGGCAGGCCGCAGGGCCGGCTAATCCTGGCAGCACAACTCTTGACGAAGACGGTGACAAGACCCACACCTGGCATACATAACTAAAGTCAACTAGCAGTCCCTCGCTGTGGTTGAAGCCTCAGAAGGCGAGAGTGCCTTTACGAAGGGATCCTCCGGCATCGAAGGAGAGGCTTGTTATATTCAACCGCATGAGAAGACTACGGGTTGGAGGAACTCGTTCAAAATTTCCATAGCTCATACCAAAGCAGACTTATAACTCCAGTCAAGCTCCCTTGTGACTGCTTACCTTTGGTGAGATTTACGTCTCTCCTACATAGAGAAGGCTGCTTTGCGACAGCGCTCTCACACAAACTGAATTTAGGTGCTTGGATAAATTTGCGAGAGCCCGAAGTAGCTAAACTTAGCCACACATCCATTATTCCCTACTATCAGCTTTGCCGGAATACACTGAAGTGTTCTCTGATTGAAAAATAGATGAAAAATCTGATCCAGCCTTCATTTCTCTTATGGATTCTCCTCATAATTGACACTCAAGATGAAGTAACCGCATTCAAGAAGATAAGCAGCAAACTGAGAGGATGTGCACCCTAAAAAAGAGGGCTCCTGCATGAATCCAAGCATATTCGAGCAGACTATCAAACATAGAGATGGGCATACTACAATGATAGGAAGTCAGGTTGATAAGAGTGTTGATCCAAGAGGTTCAAAACATGAATGAGAAAGGTGTTCAGAGATAAGAATAAGAAACCATTGAATTCCAAAATTCAAGGCCAAGATTGGTACCACTGGGATCTAAATTCTACAAAGGTTAATTTAGTTATCACACCAAGGACATAAAGGTATGTGGTTGAGTCTTTTAATGCTTGAAAAACCTTAGTCTTGGTTTTGACCTTCAGATGAGTTACCACTTAGAACAGCATTCAGGAGCCAGTTCACAACATTTTGGTCGCTACATCAAACAGAAAGCAAAGTCTTAGATATCATACCAAGAATGTAACGATATGAGGTTTATTCTACCAGTATCTTGAAAGAGGTCTGGTTTTGCAGCTTGAGATCAAGAAACTTACCTCTCGTCCTGGGAATGCTAAGCTGGGACCAACAAGCAAAAGTACAAGCACAAGGAGGTGCTGCGCTGGAATGTAATTCATTCTGAGGCCTGTGATTTAGAATTCAGTTGCCAGTAATTCTTTGTAAGTTCAATGGATTTGGCTCAAAAATTAAATCAAATCAGAGTAGGGAAAGTTCCACACGTTTGTGAGTCGATGGTTGCTGGGACATTGCGAGCTGATTGAAGATGATCTTCTTGTCAGGTGTGACGGCTTGAAGATAGGCCACAGATGGTGCAGCTGACGATAGAAAACTACGGGTGAAGCGTGTGATGATGTGTTTCTGTGTAATGAAGTGGATGAGGGAAAGACAACGATTGCTCGATAGACTGCTATAAATAGTGCTCGACAAGATCAAGGACGAAGAATATTTCGAACCAGCTACCCAGTTATTTCGGACTCAGAGATACATAACAGCAGGATGGAAATGGATGAATGACTCACAGCAGGAATCATCAGTTCAGATGGATAGAATGCTGACTTTACTCGTATTGCCGGTACTGGAAGCCACCCACATGATCGGTTAAACTTATTGCACCCTGCTGTTTAATCCATCTTCCCTAGACAGAGTCGCTTCCGGATGCCAAAGAAAGATGTCCAAACAAACTCATTCTATTCCATCTTTTCAGCAGCAAGGGGCACTACAATTAAGGCGGGATATTCTGGTGAAGAGCTGGCGCTACCACCGCCTTCTCCTTTACCCAGGTCTTCTTGAACTTCACCTGCAATACATACATAGATCTGAATGAAGCCCTAACTTAACAACAAGTCCGTTGCTCAGAGGGCCTGGTACCAGGCTGGCGCGAAGCGAGCCTCCGGTCTTTTTTGGTACATAATGGTGTAAATCTCAAGTGACAGCTATCGGGTTGATCGGAGGGTGAGGAGATGGCGCGTGATAGGGATGAACCCTGAGGAAAACTCAGATCTATGTATGTATCAGAAATTCCTGCAACAATCTTCCAGCGTCAATTTGGTTCATCAAATCCTGCAAAAACATCACCATGAACTTCCATGTCCTTGGTGATTGCAGCTTCGCCTCAAAGAAACGGACTTCCTTTCCTGAAATATTGCATACAAGGAAATTAATTGCTCTTCTTTTCTTGTACACTTAAAGCATAAGATGGCATGAATGAATGTTTATGGAACATTGATAAATGCAGGATTGAAGGAGGAGAACCAATGGAGATTGATTGCTTATAGTAGGCTAACTCTAGTAGACTAATCATAAGCTTCTAAACCCATGGTAGAGGAGAAATGGACAGATAAAAATGGAGCAACTGATTATCATGACTGACAACCCAAACTGAATCAAAAGCACTGAAGAAGATATGAAGTAGATTTCGAGAAGATAAGCTCTGCAAGCTGGGGTCCTCTAACACAGAGACGGAAACACTATCATGTGAGGAATTCTGCTCAATTAGAGAGGTGATCCAAGAGGTTCAAGACATGTATGAGAAACTAGTTTAGGGACAAGAACAAGAGGCACTAGATTCAAACATTCAAGTAAAGAACTGGTGCCACTGGGATCTAAATTTCACAAAAAGTAATGTAGTTAACACACCAAGGACAAAAAGATAGCCTTAGCCTTGGTTTTTAATCTTCAATTCAATGAACCTACCACTTCTAACAGCAGTCAGGCCGCTCCTTTGTACAACAATCCGGTGGTGGTGTCTACATCAAACAGGAAGCAACATCTTAGTTATCATACCTAGAATGATTCGATACAGGTTTTATTCTGCCGGTATCTTGAAAGGGGGATGGGTTTTCAGCTTGAGATTAAGAAACGGACCGGTCCTGGTGGCAACGCCAAGCTAGAGCTAACGAGCAAAAGTACTACAAGCACGATGATGTGATGCGGACTAGAAGTCATTCTGAGGCCTATGGTAACGTTTCGCTCATCGTTAGTTCTTTGTAAGTCATATGCATTTGGCTCAAAAAAAGAATCAACTCATAGCAGGGAAAAACTCACAGGTTTGAGTGGACGGCTGATGGGAGATTGTAAGCTGATTTGCGTCGATTGAAGGTAGGTCACAGACACGGGGATAAGTCTGAGAAAAAGGCGCCACTGACAATGAAAACTTACGCGCGCCAATTGAGATGATGAACTTCTCCGTAGTAAGATGGATGAGGGAAAGATAACGATTGCAAGAGAACTGCCTATAAACGATGATTGGCAAGACAAAAGAGCGACTTCTCAGACCGAGTAACTCCGGCACCTCGGACTCGGAGATAACAGCAGGATGGAAATGTACAATCAGGTCAGATGAGTAGAATGCTGAATCTGGGTCGTTTGTACATAATATCGGTACTAGAAGCCACCCACACTCAGCGCTTCGGTTAAACCTATCCTGCTAAATTATTCCCCCTAGATAGGGCCCATCCCTGATGTCGACGAAATTAGTCCAAAGAAACTCATATAGCTTCCATTACAGCTTGTCAGTAGCAGAGGGTGCTACAATTTAGGCGGGATCCTCAAGCTCAAGCAATGAGGGCGGTAACGCCGCCTTCTTTTCGACCCAGGCCTTCTTGAGTTCTTGAGTTCCTCCTGGGGAAGATCGAAGTAACGCCCCCGACTAGAACCACTCTCTGACTAACTTATCACAAGTCCCTCGGCCTGCAGTCGGTTTTTCTGCGCGCGAAGCGCGCCCTCCCGCAGGGAGGGACTTGCGTATCAAGTCCGAATCTTGGCTGGGACAGGAAAAACATTTGGCTGGAGTGAAAATTAATAAGCCTCTAGCATCTTATCCTCATGCCCAACAGACCCGCCTCAGAGCCAAATGATACTTTTGCGCTCCAGCTTTTCATTGGTGGTGGTTTTATCGCATCATTTCCAATACATTTCCCTCCATATTCTTTTGAAAAATATTTTTTTCCTCAAAACAATCCACCAGGATATGCAAGGAACTGTGCTTTGTGTATCCCAGTATCTACATGTGTGCCATTTTGATGATTAAACCATCAAGATCTATGCATGAAGATCCTGGCAGATAGTTATGTGTTTGTGGCGATGCCTGGTTCAAGTCTCAAGAGACCGGCAACTACCCAGCCTTTCCACTCCAGCATTACCAAGACTCAAAAGTGTCGACTGTTCAATCGGACAAGCTCATGAATCCTCCAAATCCACCAATGGTCCCTGAACATTCCCATATCCTGCAAATATGTGACAATATCAATTCCCACCAATTGAAAGCCTCCGGCCCCAGACTTACCACCCATCCCACTGCCTCCGAGCTTGGATTTAAGCTTGCCACCTTCCTTTTCTTCTGGTGGTGATCCACCTCCTCCGCTGCCCGGGGGCTCTCCTCGCTTCATCTTCGGTGGCTTCTTCCCACCGGCCTGAGAGGTGCTATTTCCAGCTCCAGTAGCACCAGGAGGACTCGGGTTGACTTTAGGTCTGAATTGACTCCGAAGAAATTCTTCAACACTTTCCTACAGAACAACGACTTGAAGGCCATCGATTGCCGCAAGAAATGGTAAGGAAAGGGGATACCTTCGACGAGGAATGTGTTTCGTCCGCGAACAAGATTCACAATTGTATTGACCTGAAGACGCTTGCACGGCTGCTTATACTTTTCAACTCCTTGCTCTTCTATAAACGCTTGCAGTTGGTCATCGTTGTATTCTTCTATCTTCGCGCAGATGTTGATGGGCTCCATTTTCGTTCGTTGTCAATGGTCCTTTGTTTTCGCAGCCAAAGAGCTTGCCAGGTGGACAGTTGGACCCAGTATGGGCTTCTTGAAAATTCTCACAAACTTACTTTGGAATCTCAAAACTCTCTGAGAAGCTAGCACATGGATATTCACCCCTGGCAGATACCTGGGAGATCCTTATCAACAGAAGCGTACTGATGCATGTTTCAATTGACCGTTAAAATGGACTTCGCTGGTCATTTTTGTCCTCTTTATCCCAAGTATTTGTCTGAAGGTCCGCTTCATTCTGACCGAAAAAACTGTCTATTCACATTTTCTTGAAATTGAGTAGTTTTTTATTTATTTATTTTTTTGTGATTTTAGCCCTGAAAATCCTTCCTGTCCCGGCCAAGGATTCGACTTGATTCATAAGCCTCTCCTACGGAGAGCGTCCCGCGGGGACGCCCCGGGAGAGGCTTTGTTAAGCTAGTGTTGTGTCATTGCAGGGCGGAGGGGCGACGCGGAACACCCCGTGCTGGGCCGGCGATCAACCAATACGGCCCTCATGGCCTGCACCGTTCTATTTGATTTTTAATTTACTACAGCACAACCAGTCCATCTTTTTTCAGAAAATGGTTGGTGAGCCGGCAAAAATTGACTTTTCCAGTTTATCTTCAGCCGACATGAACCAAGTCCCATTGATCAGGGTTTCTCTTTGACTGTCAGTGCTACTTTTCTCATAAATAAATCAGCCTTCTTTGCTTGTAGAACTTGATGGAATTATGATTAGCATTTGGACCTCGGAAAAAAAAAACACCTTCAAGATAACAGGGCAGCTTCAAGATAACAGGGCAGCTAAAAATCGTAATCTTTGGAGAAAATGATGAAGCAGAGCCGATGAAGATTGATTGCTTATAGTAGGCCGCTAACTGTAGTTGACGAATCATAAACTTTTCCATTTTCGGTTGAGGCAAGATGGACAGAAAGAAAGAAAGCAACTGGGTACAATGCATAACACCAAATTAAGGGAAGACAACTCCTACAAACCTCAATTATAAAGCAGCAAGGAACTGAGGGGAAATCAACTCCTACAAACCCGGGGTTCCCTTACTCCAAGGAAATCAAGGTTGAGGAAGATTATCTGACACAGACATGGGCCTAAACTTTGATGAGGAGGAAAGTCAAGGTTGGTAAACAAGAGGTAAGTGAAAGCCAAGAGGTTCAAAACACAAATAGGAAGAATGTTTAGATCTATATTAAACAAAGAGATAACAGAATTCCAACATTTAGGCAGCAAAGCTATGGTGCTACTTGGATCTGCATCAAACAAAAGAGTAATGTAATCAAGGCACCAACCAAAGGAAACAAAGATATGGGGTTGGATTCGAGTTGAAAAAGCGTTGAGGTCTTAGCCGTGATATTCAGATCAAGACACCTACCACTTGTAACAAAACAGCAAACAAAGGAATGGCTCGCGCAACATTCTGGTTGTCTTTAATCAAAAAAAAAAGAAAAGAAAGAAAAAAAACATGGGACAAAAGTCTGAAGAAAAGGGGCCAAGGATGGTAAAGGATTATGAATGGCCTTGGTTTTAATCTTGAAATTGAAGTTCAAGGAAACGCCAAACTCATGATTCCTCTTGAAAGGGGTCTTGGGCTCTCTAATTCTGGGAAGACCAAG